TTGTGGGGTCTCTAGATCTCTCAGACCCTTCTCAGAACTGTCAAGGTCCTGGCTGAGCCACACGGTACAGGCAGGAATGGACTGTGTCTCTGCCCTGAAGAGCTGACCTTCTATTTGGAGAGATGACTTGCACTGTAAAAAAATCTACCTAACACCCTGTAGCCTGCACTCTGGTTGGAATACAGAGGGTAGTTAGGAGGGAGCCAGCCACACTTGTTTGAAGGGACAGCTATCAGCTTCCAGAGGGCAGGAGGCTGTGCTTTTAGTCTTCCTCTTCCATAGTAAATAAGTAGTTTTTGTTGATGTTGTTTATTTGTTGAGACATGGTTTCTCTGTGTATCCCTGGCTATCCTGGAACTCGCTCTGTAAACTAGGCTAGCCTCGAACTCAAAGATAGATACATCTGCCTTTGCCTCCTGAGTGCTGGGATTAAAGGCGTGTGCCACCACTGTTTGGCTTTGTTGCTGTTGTTTTAAATTTATGGTTTTATTTTCAGTTACTATGACCGATCATGGTCCAAAAAGATTAAAAGAAAAATCCCAGAAATAAACAATTCATAAAATTTAAATAACTCTTTTTTTCTTTTTAAACAGTCTCACTATATAGTTTTGGCCTGGCTGGCTTGGAACTCACAGAGATCCACCTGCTTCTGTCTCCCAGGAGTCAGGATTAAAGGCACTGCTCTACCGACCACTGTTTAAACACTTCCATATAGTATATTGTTATAATTGGTCTAGGCGATTATTACTTCGTTACTCTTTTACTATGCCCTTACCCTCTCACAGGACTGAGGACTGAACCTAGGGTTTCACGCATGCTGGGTCTCATGCATGAGCTAGATCCTTAGATCACGGTGCCTAACATAAAATTTTATTACATTTATGTATTTCTCTCTCTCTGTGTTTGCACGCATGTGCATTCATGCCTTGGTGCATGTGTAAAAGTCAGATTTCAACTTGCAGGAGTCAGTCTTCTTCTGGGGCTCAAACTCAGGTTATCCAGGCTTGGCAGCAAACATCCTTTCTTACTGAGCCATCTGGCAACCCATGTCCGTCTTCCCGAGGCAGTCTCAGGGAGCTCAGCCTGGCGTCAAACTCACTATATGTAGTCTAAGATGGCCTTGAACTCCTGATTGTCCTGCCGCCCCCTCCCGAATGCTGCGATGACAGGTGTGCATGAGCACACCTGGCTTTCTGTGATGCCAAGGATGGAACCCAGGGCTTTTGTCCGTGCTGGGCAAACACTTGAACAAGTGAGCTACGTCTCCAAGCCGTCACTGTGCTTAGTCTGTAAATTAAAACTGTATGGCGCCAGTGAGATGGTTCAGCAAAGAAAGTCATTTGCTGCCAAGCTCGATAACCTGAGTTCCATCTCCAGATCTCACATGGTAGAAGGAGAGGGCTAACCCCTGCAGATTGCCTTCTGAGCTCCACACATATGCCATGACATGTGTGCACCCTCCTCACCAACAAATAAATAATGTACAGGAAAAAAAAACATTCTATATAGAATCCCTGCAAGCCTAGGGGGTTGTTGTACAGCATTACTAGTCCTTAGCATGGTGTTTGCATCACTGAAGGCACTGGATAATGTCTAGTGAATGAGCAGATGATTTATGTAAGCAGAGCTATCCACAGGACTGGGGGAAGCTCCGAGTTTTGCGCCGGCAAGAACAGGATGAGAGCCATACTGGCTAGAATGGGAAGCTCATGTTCAGGGGAGACAAGGCCACACTGATGGGTTGCAGCCAGCTAGGAAAGGCCTTGAATGCTAAGCCGAGTGGCCAGCTCCCTAGCCTGCTCTTCCTTTGACTAGACCCACCCCCTTCTCCTCCCTCTATTTTTAGATCCTTCTAGAGCAGGGACAGCACTCTTAGTTCAAACAGGTGTAGGCAAATCCTGGCCTGGAGTTTGGGGCTTACAGGAAGTGGGCTGTGCTGGGAGCTCAGCCCAGAACTGAGCCCGGGGAGAGCCCTGGAGCTTGCTTGGGAGTCCCCTCCTTCCTTCCCTCCTCCAGCAGGCCACTGCCAAATGGCAGCCCCTGGTCCACCTCCAAGCGGCCATTGGGTTAGAACCTGGTTGCCCAGTTGTCTCCAGTAGAATTTTCCCTAGATGGCAATAGGTAAAAGCTTGACGGACAAAGCCAGACCCTTGGCTCCTCCTCTTCCTCTCTTCTTTCTGTTAACAGTGTCTCTCTATGTAGCTGTCCCTGAACTCATAACCCTCCTTCATTAAGCCCCTAAATGCTGGGATTATAGACATGTGCCACTACACTCATCTTGTACCTGTTTCTTTACCTACTAAGTGGGGATAATAATACTTCAACTGTTGACCACACGGGGGCTATATGATTATGAAAGAAAAAGGGAGCTGGGGGAAAACAGCTCAGCTGGCAGAGTGCTTGTTTAACATCTTCAAAGCCCTGGGTTTTATCCCTAGCACAGCTTAAACTGGTCATGGTGGTGCGTGCTGTAATCCCAGTACTTGGGAGGTAGGTACGGGTTGGGGGGGTGGGGGTGGGACAGACCAGAAGTTCAAGGTCATCCCAGTATCCTGGGATGTACAGTGAGTTTGAGGTCGGCCTGGAATATACAGACCCTGTCTCAAAAAAAAAAGTCTATCAGATGCTTAAAATAGTCTTTAAACCAGGCATAGCAGTGCATGCCTTTAATCCCATCGGTTGGAGGCAGAAGCAGGAGGATGTGGTCTACATAGTAAGTTCCAGGACAGCCAGAGCTACATAGTGAGATACTGTCTCAAAAAAAAATGTTCTTTGATATTAGGTTTTTTTTTAACGTTCACGTTAGCAGGGCTGTGACAGTAGCAGAGCATTCTCACTGCGGAGCAGATGCTGTCACTTGACGTGTGCTGCCAGTTTCCTCAAATGTCATGGGACAAGAACAACCGGGGATCTAGCAGCATTTCACTGCCGCTAGGGCTGTTAATATCTTCGGGATTCTCTGTCCTCATAGAGCTCACAAACCAGGAGAGGGGGTAGTCCGTACTCCTGAGATGAACAGAGGACCATATAAGGTAGATGGAATCAGGGGCTAAAAATAAGCAGCCAGAGAGCAGAGAAGGGGAAACACTCGTCAGACAGGCTCTGTGGCGGGGAGGGGGGCGTTCAAACTGGGACGGAAGGCATGAGGGTGCCAGGACTGTAGGGTAGGGGCTGGGACTTGGGACTAGTGAAATCTCATCTGGCTTAGTGTGGGAGAATGTTTGGCAGGTTTCTGAGGGCCAGGCTTAGGTGTTGGTTCGTATGTCATTTTCCTGTGGTTGCCATAACAAGTCACCCCAAACTCGGTGGCTTAAAACATTAGAAATGGTTGGGTGTGGTGGTGCACATCTTAAAACCCAGCATTTAGGAGATAGAAGCCAGTGGATGTCTGTGAGTTCAAGACCAGCCTAGGCTACAGTGAGACCCTGTCACCAAACCAAACCAAACCCACAAATGTGTTCTTGCTCAATTTGGGGGGCCAGAAATCCAAAATCAAGGCATTGTTAGGGCTGTGTTTCTGAAGGCCTTTGTGGAGGAAGCCTTTGTGGTTTTTCTAGCGTCTGTGACTGCCAGGAACCCTTGGCCACCCTGGCTTCTTGCTTTACTTCTCCAGTCTCAGCTCCGCCTTCCTTCGGCCTCCTCCCCGTTTGCGATTCTGTTTTTTTCCTCATCATATAAAGATATTAAAGACATTGGCTTAGGGCTCACCCTAATTAACACGATCTCATCTTAATTAATTACATCTACAAAAATCATATTTCCAAAGAAGGTCACATTCCCAGGTCATGGTGGGCCACGTGTTGAGAGCACACAGTTCAACCCGCTATAGTTCCTTAGCTGTGAACCTCAAGATGTCTAGTAGTTGCTACCCCCAAATGTTTAGTTTTTATGTCCCTCGGGCAAGAGTGTTCTGCTGGGTAGAGGGGCACCTGTTGTCTTGGCCCCCCCAAGGATTTGGTGGCTAATTTGGGGCTCTGCTGACACACCTAAGGGAAACATGTTAAATGAATGTATGGACAGTTGGCTGGAGTGGAGAATTCCGGGAGCAGCTGCTCAGCTTGTAAGGGTGCATGGAGGTGGGGTGTGACTGCCTGGGTATGCTCGGCTATGGAACATGGTAGAGGTGGAGGATCCCAGGGAAGGGAGGACTGGCTTCTGGGTGGGTAGTGACAGGGAGAGCGAGGACTCAGACGTTGGGAGCCTGTGCACAGTATGCTTTCTTTGTGAGGCCCTGCATCGATTTCCCCTCTTGGTCTCAGCTCCTGGGTGCTGTGGGAGCCAAGCGAGGGATCTGTGGGATGTGGAAGCCCTCCTGATCTTTGGAAGAAGCTGCTCAGAATAAACTTCTGAAAGACCACCCTGTGAGGCCGCCATTCTCATGGACCTCCTGCCAGCTGCAGACAGTAGAGCAGGTGGGGCTCCTCACGGAGGGTAGCAGAGTGCCCAAGCCTGAGTCTGGGCATCCAGGCAGTTCTAGAAGCTGGGCACTGTGGCACATCCTGGTTCTGAAGGGAGCAGGATCAGGCAGTTACTTTCAGCCTTTGCCCAGACCTTTTCAGAAATGTGCATGATAAGGTACTGGAGAGACTGCTCAGCAGTTAAGAGTACTTGCTGCTCTTTCAGAGGACCTGAATTTGGGTCCCAGCACCGTATCAGGTGGCCTGCAACTGCCTACAGGGTATCTGATGCTGTTTTCTGCCCTATTCAGGCACCCACATACACATAGCACATGCACACACAAGCACATCAATAAATCTTTTTTTAAAAAAAGAGCAACAACAACAATAGTAAAATGTTCACCAGTGAGCACAAGGCCTACTTCAAGGCGCCCACTGGTCTCCCTGGCTAGCCCGGCATTGTGTGCTCTGCTCCCCAGCGCTCTCCTCCCCTCCTCCCCACAATCACTGCTCCCCTCACACACTTGGCTTGTCTCCTGTGGCTCTGTCCCCAAGTAACCTCACATCCCAAGAGCAGCTATTCAGGTCCCATGTTGTCCGCAGTCCTTCTCAGGCTGATGCTGGGTGCTAGTTCTGGCTTCCTGCCCACTCATCTCGTCCTCTAATTGGATCCTAATGTCTTCAAGGGGAGGAGATTTTATTCAGTAACTCAGCTCAATTGGTTATCACACAGTCAGTTCGGAAAGCAGCTCTTCTAGGGCCCTTTAGTCACACGAGAAGTAGGCCTGTGGAGGTTAAGTCCCGGCATCAGGACATGGCTCAATGCCACTTCTCTTGTCTTATGGAACTATTCTGTTACCAAGTTGAAAAAAAAATCTTCCATCCGACTGTTTTCCATCCATCCATTCTGTGTCCATCCACACAAATAGCTATTCTTGGTGCTAAGGAAGCAAATTCCAACCCACAAGAAACTAAGAAAGTTATGCGGCGTATTGGAAAACAGTAGATGCAGCGAAGGAAAATAAAACTAGGGCGAGCGAACAAGCAAGACTAAGTGGGAGACAGTCGGCAGTGGGGAGCCGGAGTGAGCCTTGATCACATCAGAGCAAGGTGTCCGGGAAGACAGAACACGAAGGACAGGAACAGTCGGCAGTGGGGAGCCGGAGTGAGCCTTGATCACATCAGAGCAAGGTGTCCAGGAAGACAGAACACGAAGGACAGGAACAGGAGGGACACGGGGGTGGCCCAAGAGGAGCAAGAGTTCTAAAGTGGACAGGGTAGTCAAGGTGATAGAAGAGAAGAGATGAGGTCACAGGGGAAGCAGGGCAGAGGTCATAGGCCTCTAGGTCACTGTAGAGCTCTCGTTCTTCCTTTGCATAAGACAGGAACAGCTGGAAGGGTGCACTGAAGAGCAACGTCACTCATGGCTCTGGCTGATGGAACACACAGAGCCACGGGAAGGGGTGGCTGTGTGGTTCTTTTTAGAGAGCCCTGAGAAGCACCGACGGGAAAGGATGCTATTGTCACGTGTTCTCAGCGGTCATCAGATGCTCACAGTGCACGGATAGCTGCTAAGTCTCAGCTAAACACCTGCTGTCTCCCTGGGGAAAAAGGGGATAGGTACTTCAGGAATACAGAGCAGACACACTGAACTAAGTTTAAGGGATGGGGAGGAAATTCCTGGGGGATGAGCCTCAGAGCTGAGCTCTGAAGTTTGAGCAGGAGTTGGCCCTGGGACGGGGATTGGCAGTGAGAGAGGCATTTTGGAGGCTGGTCAGGAAGTCCTGCTGAGTGAAGGTGATTTGAATAATAACCTTCAGGCATGAATAACACGAGTCTAAAGAGGTGTTGGGCACGGCCGTTTCTCTGGAAATGTCAGTCGGAACATAGCTCACTACCATAGAGAGCGGAGGCTGTGTCTCGTCACGTTACTCAGGGTAGTGAAGTCTGGACATGAGTGAATTGAGATCCATGTGACCTCAAGTGATATGAACCAAAAGACATCATGAAGGGTGTGGTGTGAGACATGGCTAGCAAGAGGGGACAGGTAAAGCTGGAACCTGTAGAAATCAGGAGGGAATTCCAGGCATAAAGGCCACCATGACACCTCAAGACATGTTTAAGTCCTAAGCCAAGTACCTGTTTGCGGGATGTGGAGCTATCATGGCTGTTGGTTGGGTTTCTAGGAGAAGGGTAGGCTCTGTGTCCAACATGGTGGCTTCCTTCTGGGGAGAGAAGGAGGAGGAGAAGGTCGTGTGAAGATGGGGACAAACACTGGAAGAGGCAGCTCTGAACCAGCTGTAAGTCAGGGACTGCCAGAGAAGCAAGACAGGCGCTCCCCTTTAGGGCTCAGAGGAAACATTGCCCAGCCATGCCTTGATTCTGACTCTGACTTTTGGAACTGTGAGAGAATCGATTTTTGTTCCCCTGCCTCTCTCTCTTAAAGATTTATTTATTTATTGGTTTTTTTTTGAGACAGGGTTTCTCTGTAGCTTTGGAGCCTGTCCCAGGCTGGCTTTGAACTCATAGAAATCCAGTTGTCTCTGCCTCCCAAGTGCTGGAATTAAAGGAATGTGCCACCACCACCCATCAAGCAGAGGTTCTTTATTTTTTAATTAATTAATTTTTAAAAATGATCTTTTCTCATTTTACACACCTATCCCAGTTTCCACGCCCTCCCCTCCTCCCGCTCCCCTCACCTTCCCCCCACATCCCCCCCACCCACTCTGGGAGCAGAGGTTCTTAGCCCCTTTGAGGGGCTGAATGACCCTTTCACAGGGGTTGCCCCAGACCACTAGAAAACAGATATTATATTATGATTCCTAAGAGTAGCAAAATGACAGCTATGAAGTAGCAATCAAAATAATTTTATGATTGGGGGTCACCACAACATGAGGAACTGTATTAAAGGGTTGAAGTTCTAGGACGGTTGAGAGCCACTACTCTAGAGTTCTGAGTTTGTCCAGTCCAGGCAGCATCAGCATTAGGGTTGTTCCCTTTTAACTCTCCCAACAATGACTGCTGAGACACCTCTGCAATCTCCTTGTGACCTTGGGCATTTCAGAGCCTTGTAGTGAAGGCTGATGGCTTTTCTCAGGCTCTCGATGGAACCTCCCCCCAAATCTCCAAACAAAACTGTGCCTCCAACCTACTCTAGATGTTTCTGGCTTGCTGGGAAGGCAAATAGGGGAGGGAGGGAGCAAGCCAAGGTATACGGAGTCTTGCAGGTGGAAACATGGGCCTAAAAGGTTAGAATTATTAGACAGGAAAAGGGGGCTGGCTGCATTTGGTTAGCAACCATGCGTGAAGACAGGTTAGAAGAGTTTGTGCTTAGTCCTGGCTCATACTTGCTCTCTGGGGGACTTCTAATACCCCTTTTCTTTCTCCTCTGGACTTGGTTTCTTCATTTGTGGAATAAGAATTGAACGAATCAATTTATACTTTTCCTTCAGTTCTAGAAGTCTCTATTGTAAAAATAACCATGAGGCGAAAAATCAAGATGTGGGGGTATGGATAGAGGGGCCAGAAGTGGAACTCGTCTGCCATGGATCTGGGGATATTCTCAGAGGAACAAAGTGGACTGCCCTGGGCAAAGAGCAGTTTTTCCATAAAGGTCTATAGGCTAGGGCATAACACCTATCCCGCTGCTGACCAGCCTGCCTTTGGCTTGCCCTTCCTCCTTCACCCACTATGGACAGACACTGGAACAGGCGGCTTTTGTGGCGCCTGGGAGTGAGAGCTACTAAGGCTATCCTGCTGGCAGTGGGCAGCAGTGCTGGTACGACTGGGTGCTGTTGGCCTACTTCGGTAGCTATGACACTTCCGCTCCCCTGAACTGTTTGAGCCCAGCTGCAGGAGGTGGTGAAGAAGTAGGCTGACTGTGGTTGGTTCTACAGACTGGTGTATGAGGTGCTTTTGACTTAAGGGTCAGAAGCCTTCTCAGCCTATGAGGCATTTGGCCAGGGGAAGCCTCAGCCTGTGAGGTGTAAGTAACCAGGGAAAGCTTCAGTTCAGGCCCAGGCTGGGAAGATCCAGCTCCCAAGTGCAGACTTCTCCAGCCTCCTTAGGCTGGGAAAGAGGTGGCTCTGGTCTCACTGCTCCTTCTCCTTCATTGCTGAGCCCCAGTGACTAACCCAGGGCATCCAGACGGAGCGGCACTCCTTTGGCTCCCACTGGGTATCTCCTTGCTGGCATCTACAAGTTAAACCATCAATTTTCCTAGCATCCTTCCCTACAGATGCCAGGGAGATTTAGTCTCCTCAGACTGGGAGCTGAGACGATACGGGAGTCAGACACCTGCCTCAGTCTTTCTCAGACTCCACCCTGCATCCATTCCCCCTTCCTTCCCTGGCCGGCCAGCTTAGTCCTTGCAGAGTGAGGGTGTCACTTCCAGACACTCTTGTGAGAATTTTGTGCTGATCTCTGGAAAAATAGTTTCAACGGAGCACTCCTTCTATCAGCTTACTTGGAGGCAACAGGACTTAATCCTTTTTTCTTTTTTTGAGACAGAGTCTTATGTAGCCCAGGCTGGCCTTAAACTCAATAACCCTGAACCTTTGATTCTCTTGTTACCACTTCCCAAGTGCTGGGATATGGGATGTGACATCACACTCAGTCTGTGCAGTTCTGGGGATGGGACCTGGACTTCGTGTGTCGGGCCAGCACTCTACCATCAGCTACATTCCCAGCTCAGGACTTAATATTGTGCTTCTCCTAGAGATATTCGCCTTTCCAAATGAATAAGCAAGCCAGGTGTGGCAGCATGTGCTCACAGTGCCCTCCCTTCCTCAGGCTGAGTTATATAGAACCAAGCCAGCTGGAACTATATAGCAAAACCTCGACTTAAAGCAAGCAAGCAAACAAACATCTAGGCATAGCGATGCCTGCCCGTGATCTCAGCACTTGGGAGGTGGAGCCAAAAGGATTAGGAGTTTAAGACTAGCCTTGGCTACTTAACAAGTTTGAAGCCAGGCCAGGCTATAGTGCTTATGTCAAAACAAACAAACAAGCAACCAGCCAAAGAATTAACAAAAACGAACAAACATCATCTACACTAATGATCCCCTGGCATCTAGACAAGCACCCATAGATCTACCAATGGCCATGGGATTTATAGCAATTTCTCTCTATACCTCCCAAACCAAGTATTCACAGGAATTAGAGGTGAGGTGGAAAATAGTTATTCTGTCAATTCTCTGTACTCTGTAGGTTAAAAATAAGTGTGTTAGAGACTTTGACCCTTTTCAAAAGAAGAAGAAATGGGTGGGCTAAGAAGGGCCTGTTCTAAGGCAAACAGCTCCTGTTGTTGGCTTAGTGGGAGAGAGGGTGAGGTTGACTTGGCACAGGGATGATTTAGAGGTAGTAGGAGCTGGGTTCTAGAAGCAGATACTGCCAAAGGTTCCCGAGGAATCAAGGCAGGTAGTCTTAGAGTTTTAGTTAGTGAAATTTGAGTAGTCGGTCACTGAGATGGTTCTCTGTGATTGCTGCCTTTGCTGGTGTGTCCTGTTCCTTTGATGCATCATCTGGGGGCCTGAGTCCAGCCAGGGACGAGCTGTACTGGTGGGATTAGCCTTGACTTTAGAGATTTGGCCATGAAGTCAAAGACAGTCTCCACTGCCTCTTCTGTGGGACCCTGTCTCCCTTGTCTGGAGGAAGGGCTAAAGGCCAACGGGCTAGAGAGTGTTCCTGAATCCTGGAGGATGGAGACAGCCTTTGCTCTGGCAGATACTTTTCTGCTGAAACTCCAAACGGCATCAGCCGTCAGCCACATTGTCTGAGGAAGGCGTCACCTGCGACGCAGGAGAGGGAACTCTGGATGGTGAGAAGTCACTGTAGAATGAGATACAGAAAGTAAACAAGTGAAAAGAATAAACAAATGGAGGACGGTTAGCAGGAAGGGTCAGCCTGCTGCTGGAAGACAGAGGGTCTCCCAAAAGGGTGACAGTGGCGGCAGCGTCGCGGGTCTGATGTTCCCCAGTCACTTTGGAGACTCAACCCGTGAGATGTGGGCCAAGGGCGACTTGTGGGACTTGGAACTCCTGTGTTCCTCAAGGTCAGTGTGCTCCTGATAAGGTATAGAAGCAGAAAATACTTTCCCCTGGCATCTTTATTACTGTTGATGGCTCATTTGCATAAGTGGGTATGCGTGGTGGTCAATGTTACTTTGATCATCACAGCTTCAGATCAAATGGGCGAGGAGGCGTGCAGGAGCCTTACTAAAGACTGCTATCCTTACTAAAGACTGCTAAGGAGCCAGCACTCGCCTTTAATCCCAGCCCGAGGAGGCAGAGGCAGGTGGATCTCTGAGTTCAAAATCAGACTGATTTACAAAGTTAAGTTCAGGCTGACTAGGGATACACAGTAAGACCCTGTCCCCACTCCCACCCCACCCCCAAATCCTAAAGAGATAACCTGCAGCAGAATTTACATTGAGGCGTGCTCACAACAGATTAATAAACAAGATATTTCCTAGGTTCTGAGACTTGTTCTTTAGACCTCCACTTTCAACTTTGGGACCGAGCTCCTTGGTAGTTGGTGCTGAGGAAGACTTAGTGTCAAGGGTCTTGGGCATTGGTATTTTCTAGAATCATCTTATAAAACACAGCTGCATACTGGCCCAGAGTCGGGATTCAGTGTTCAGAAAACTTTGTAGGTATGGTCACACCATTCCCAGGCAGAACTCTGCAGGAATGAGTTGTCAGACAAATGCCTTACGTTTCCTGTGTCTGCCTCCTCATTTCAAGAGAGAGTGATATCCCTGGCCTTTTCTGCTGGAGAGGGCTGTGAGGAGGATCAAAGAATAAGGACTCCAAAATGTCTCAGAGCCCTGAGGGCAAGACCGGATCTAGTGCAGAGTTTTGCACCTGTACAGGAACAGAAAGGAAGGGGGGTGAGGTTGTCAGGCCTCTCCCATTCTCACCCTGTAGACGGTGGGGCAGATAGACTCAGGGAGGTACTGGCTATGAAGGAGGCCCTGTCTCCACACTACTGCATCTTCCCTTTCCCCTGAGGAACTTCTGAAACACAAGCCGGTAAACCACTGAGGTACAGTGAGAGCCCCAGGCCACAGTCGAGGGTTCTGTCCCAGCCTGACCTTGTCCTCTGGGCAGCCTTAGCCAGAGCTTCCTCCTCTCCAGCGGATTCATGGGCCTTGGCAACTCATCCGTCTCCACAGAAAGTGCTAAGGGATAAGGCAGGAGTAGAGGAACAAAGCCAGTGTGCTTGACGGTGGGGAGAGAAGGTGGAGCCACTGCTGGGGTGTGAGGTCCAGAGAGCAACGAAAAGCCTAGATTCCCCAAGAGGGCTGATGGTGGAGGGGGTGCCAGGAGAGGTAGTGCTGGCTTGTGCCAGGCTGAGCCTGAGTGTGAGTGATCCAGGGATTCAGCCTGTCAGGTGCTTAGGCCTCCCGTGGGCCTCTTGGGATGAACTGGGGGCTTGCTATTCATGTGCCTTGACGTCAGTGGCCAGGCCCGGCCAGCACTGAGCTGGCTGTGTTGGCGGCAGTTCATACAGTAGGATACTTCATGGCCTGATATGGAACCACACTCATTTCACCAGAACTCAGCCCACCGGGATCCTCGGTGTCTTCTGGTCCCTTCTGTTCTGGGCACCAACAGGGGTTCTGGCAAAGAGTCAGAGAAGGAGGGGAGGAAAGACCGTGGCCTTGGATCTCAGGGAACTGAGCATCAGATGTGCCTCCCACAACAGATTTGGGGCCAATGCTTCCTGAGGTTGAGCTCTGGGAGGCCCAGCAGGACAGCTGGTTTCAGTGGAAGACTTTCTGCCAGAGCAGTTGGTTTTAGCTTGAGAAGGAAGGCCATGGTGCAAACTGCTTAGCAGACAGCCAGGGGTGGGTGCTTTGGCTGTAAGGTGTAAAAACCAAAGCTGGGAGGTGTTAGTGTATATACACACACGGTCCAGTAACTGGAAGCGGAAACACAGCAGCGTGGAAGTCAGGCATCCCTTCACTATCTGGTCCTCACACTCTTTTGGGTGATGCTGGCATCTCACTCCCATTGGAGACAGAGATTTTTTGCTTCTTCTGTTGTAATTCTCTGTGTAGTCCTGGCTGTCTTGGAACTCACAGAGATCCTCCTGCCTCGGCCTCCTGAGTGCTGGGATTAAAGGTGTGCGCCACCACTGCCCTGCAGATATTTTGAGAATATCAGAAATAAAAGAAGAAGTCAGACCGGATCTCTCCAGCTCAGTGTCATCACCACAGCCACCATCATCCCCACCTTTGTCATCACAGAGCAACAGGAGCCTGTGGGAAGGGTTAGATACAGTGAGGAAATGCTGTAACTACTGCTGTTCTGAGGGAAGGCGCCAGGTTCCAGAGGCCCAACCGAAACTGGAAGCCCCAGTGGGGATCCTCCCAAATGCGGAGGGCTGGGAGCAGAAGTCTTGGGGTCAAACTGTTTGTCTTTGACACTGCAGTGGTTTTGGTTTTGTGTGCTGGGATGGCTGAAGATATGTTTTTATTGTTGTTGCTAGGGTTGCCTCGTGGATAGTTTAAATGTGAACTGCTTAGGAAGGGGAGGAAATCAAGAATCAGGAACAAGGTGACTCCGTGTGTCACAGGAAAGGAGAGGAGAGGAAGTGGTGGAGACCAGCGCCTCTCAAACCATAGCAATGTGTGAATTAGTCATCTGGGGCATCTTGCTAAAGAAGTATTCTGATCCATGCATCTCCAGGAAGCTCTGGGGTGATGCCGAGGAAGAAGCTGGTCTCTGGGTCACACTTGGAGTAGTGATAACCCCGCTCAGAGTCAGGCAGTCTCCTTTCCAGGTCAAAAATCAAAAGGTCCTCAGCCTGTTACTAGCCACAGGACATATGCAGGGCCCTGAATTTCAGTCTTCTCACCTGTAAAAGGGATGGAAGTAGCTGGGCAGCTGTGGTGCACACCTTTAATCCCGGGCAGGAGGGAGAGGCAGGTGGATCTCTGAGTTCCAGGACAGCCAGGGCTACACAGAGAAACCCTGTCTCAAACAAAACAAAAGAGGGGGGAGGGAGGGAGGGAGGGAGAGAGAGAAAATACTTGTTTTTCAGAAGCAGGTAAGTCTTCGTAAATATTTTCCATTGCCTAGCATAGTAAATAATTATATGAATGCATCTCATATTTTATACATCTTACTGCTCATAGGACTGTCAGTTTCTTTAGGTTAAAACAAATTCCTACCACAGATTCTTCTCAGAGACTAGGAAGATAGAACGGCAGGGGAAGGAACTGGGGCAAGTAATATTTAGTTCCCTCATCCTGCTGAGACCAAGGAGCCAGGAATTCTTACTGGTTTCCTCATGTAAATGTAGACTTCTTCTAGAACTTTCTGTAGGGCAGGCAAGGGTCTTGACTGCTGAGAACACACAACTAAGATCCACCTTGCTACCCAGGAGCCAGAAGCATGATCCTGGAAAGAGGGTGCATGCAGTCAGGGACTGGGATCCCCACGAAGGTTCTGGTGTCTCCTGACTACCCTGTGAGCTAGGAGTCAGCAGTTCTGTGTATCATTCACCTCTTAGCCACATGGTTGCCATGAGTCTGTGGTAAACCAAAGACCATCACTAATTTGGGTGTACAATCTGCCAGGCAGGACAAGCAAGCTTACAAACAGCTGTGCATACTAGTGTGCTTGGGGTGAAGTTTTACACATTTGTATACAGGGGTCCTCTAGAATTGGTGACCCACAGCTCCCCATCCTTCAGGAGCTGACACAGGTTGACTAACTGTGGGAGCTAGTGAGAAAACACCTGTTCCTAATGGCTGGAGACTGCCCCCCGCCTTTTGAGAACCGGCGAGGGGTGGGATGCCTGGAGACAGGAAGGCTTCTTACTTCGATGAGGGAAGCACCAGGCTTTCCCTTACAGGGACTGCCTTCCTTCCCTTCCCGTGGGCTTGCAGCTTTTCCTGCAGGCCTCTTCTTTAAGGAGCTCCCAGTTTGTGACGGAAGGTCAGAAGGAATAGGTCTAAGCTTCACTTCCACCCCATTTTCCAAAAATACCCAGCTTGACCCTTGGTGGCAGTCTCTGGCACAGACTGGGACCATGTTTGTTCTGTTCTCCCCATGCCCTCTGCTCTGTGGGTACAGCCGCAGGACCTTAGAAGGGGATCCCCTCAGAAGGGGTTGGCTGAGGCCAGTGGGAAGCCCAGGTCCTACCCATTTTGGATGTCTCCTCCTCAGGCCCTGTTCCCTCTAATCTGAGGTAGAGAGGCCAGCGAACGCCTGCCCTTAAGGGGACAGGCTTAGATGTGTGACTTAATAAAGCTGAGAGCCACAAGTAATCCCCTAAGTACTTTGCCTTGTAACCTAAGATTATCTGGCCTGCAAACACCTGTTCTCGCTCCTTTGCTGATAGCAGTATAAAGAGCTCGCTGGTTAATGACTCTAGGAACTGACAAGGAGAGGAATGCACGAGCATTTGTCCCATCTTGGAACATCTCCTCAGGAGCCAGGTGGCACGTGCCACGCCCGTTGCAAGGTTGAGGAAGGACTGGAAGGGCTCACAAAAGTTTCTATCCATATATAGTCATCAGGACCTGGGGGAAGGCTTGAAGGTCAGGGTCAGGCTTTGGGGGTTCTTGAGTTACTACAGCAGCTGACTCCCTTAGTGCACAGAAAGTCAGTCCTCTAACTCCCTAATCTGTAGACCCCCAGAGGCTTGGAGGGAGGCAGGTGGTCCAGAGGACCCAAGCTGGGAGGCATAACTTGGACGCCAGGCACATATGGGGCTCTCTGCTGTGGGAGCTAGCCTGACATAGACTCTAGAGAAGCAGGGCAAGTGCCAACCCTGTGAACTGACCAATCATGTTCTAATCATTTAGAACTGCAAGTCTCTGCTGCGGGTGGCACAGAAGATGTTGGCAGTTTGTTGGAGAATCATTTCTCTGCTGGAGATGCAAGTCTAGAGGAGAAAGAAAGGGCGCTTTATGCAGATGCGGCCCCTGGAGACAAGAACCTGCTCCTTCACTACCCAGACGGCAGGGAGGCTGAGAGCTTGGAGCAGACACCAGCAGGGGCCCCTTCCACTGCCAACGGCCAGGGCTCCGAATCCGAAGCTAGCCTGTCTAATACCTCAGCGGCAGAGTCAGCTCCATCTGGGGATACCGAAGGGCATGGGGAGGAAGAGAAGGGCCCCGCAGCAGCAGACACCCTTCCTCCAGGAGGGGTGGAGGGGCCAGAAGAAGAGAGGCCAGAGATTGGTTCCGGAGGGCAACCAGGACAGGAGGGGACTGCCAGTGTGGGGGCAGAAGTACAAGAAGGGAGTAGTGGGGTCCCTGGGGAATTCCAGGGACTCTTAGGTGGTAGCCCCGTGGAAGAGGCAGCAGCAGGGACAACAGAGTCCACAGCCACCCAGGTTTCCCCTAGCGTAGAGGGTGAAGAGGTCTATACAGTGGAGGCAAGGGAAAAGGGCACCACAGGGTCTGGTCACCACTCCGCAGAACTGGATGGAGTCCAGGATGCCACAGTTGCTGGAGATGAATCAGAGGCTGATATGGCTGCAGAAGCCAGGGAGGGGGCAGAGGACCAGCCCCCGGGCCACAGCCTGCGGTCAGAAGAGGAAGCCACTGTAGGGCCCGATCACCAGTCCACTGACCTAGATGCAGTCTCTGACAACACGTCTTCTGGAGGAGAGGCAGGAGAAGCTGCAGAAGGAGCAGCTGACCAGAGCCAACTCCTTTCCTCTCAAAAAGAAGTCGGGGCTAGCCCAGGGTCTGGTCACCAGCCTACAGAGCTAGTTACAGCCCTGGATGCCACATCTGCTGGAGAAGAATCAAAAGCTGAGGTGGATACAGAAGCTGGGGAGAAGGCTGAGGACCAAGGGGAGCCTAGACCTAGCCAGGAGGCTGGCTCGGCTATAGAGGCCAGTGAACAGTCCGGGGGCACCCAGAGTTCCAAGGACAGGGAGACAGAGAACTACCCTCCTGAGGCCCAGGTATCAGGGACGCCTGAGGAGGGCCTGGCTCAGGCCTCCTCTGAGGAAGAGGGTGATGAAGAAGGAGGAAGTGAAGAAGGAGGAGCTCCATCTAAGGAGGAGTCTGAAGAAGACAGCGGTGATGGAGCTAGCTCAGAAGAAGAGGGAAACGGCTCTGGGGAGGCTGGGGAGCCCCAGGAAGCAGCAGAAACCACAGAACGCGAAGAGGAAGGCATCCAGCTTGATGTGGAAGATTTGGACGCGGGGTCTGAGGGTGGCAAGACCCAGGGTGCAGAGGTGGAGGCATCCAAAGAAAGACAACAGGGCAGAGGGAATCCTGTAATTGCTCACCAGGGTAGGAATTCATTCCTCAAGGCAATCCCAGATGCATTCTTTACATTCTTACACATTCTTGTACATTGTGGGACAAACACGGGGTGTGTGATAGCCCTTGGTTAGTTCTGGGTGTGATAGGCAGGGCCCTGTCCCTCTGATCAGCCCAGAGAGCCCACGTAGGCAGTTCCTTAGACACCCAACCTTTAGTGTGGATGGATCTAGCAGGAGGCTTCAGAGGGACCTGACCATTTCTGACCTGTATGTGACTACCAGCACAGACAGGAGCCCTCTTTAGAACTGGTAGATGTGGGTCAGCCTTAAGGACAAGGGAACTGATGTCAGGTTTGCGGTCCTGAGACTGGCTGGTGGAAGGAGGTGCAGGGAGTTGGCGGGGCAGGTTAGGAAGCACAGGCACTCTTCTTCCATTGAGTCTGCTGGCGAAGACTTCCCGCATAAGGTGTGAACGTCAGGAATCGGGGTCAGGACCATGGTGTGAGAGCTGAGGCTGACTGCTCTCAGATGCCCCTTTAGAGTAGGATAGCCCTCAAAGGACAGGGAAGGAGGAGGGCTGGGGCTGATGGGGCGCCATGGTCAGGACCGGCAGACCTCATGCTGTATGTGTGGATAGAACAGAAGGTGGCTTGCAGGGCACAGGCTGGGTCCTGCTACGACTATCACGTTTCCAGGTGGCCTTCTTACAGATCTCCTTAAGCCATTTCCCCCTTTGAGACAGGAGTTTATGTATTCCAGGCCAGGAATGAACTCATTGTGTAATAGTCAAGGCGGCTTTGAGTTCCTGATTCTCCTGCCACGCACCACACGCCTGACTTCTTGTGGAACTTAGTGGACTTTTTGTGCTCTTTATGTACTTATGCTTTCTGTAAGGAGCAGTAAGCTCTTCCCCTTCTCTCTTTCCTAACCTGACCTGGGAGCAGAAACTGCATGAGACGCTGCTTAAGACATGCAGATACTGGCCTCCCTCTACCCCACAAGCCTAAGCTACACCCTCCTAATCTAAGGTCCTTGAATAGGCAGCTTTGCTAGAAATAGGTGACCTCAGAGACCAGGGAGCGTGAACAACACCCTTCCCAGGACTCATCAGGTATGGGTGTCTCTTGTTTGCTCAGTCATGGGGACAGCTGACCTGTGTGTGACTGCCGGCACAGACAGGTACAGTCACACACCTGCTTCCTTCCATTTCCCATCAACACTATTCTGCGAGATGTTCCCTCAGTTGGCCAACGGCTTTCTATGCCCTGGGGATGTTGAAATAGGAGCAGTGGGGCTGCGTCCCAGGCACCCGGCCGCCAGCATGGCTAGCTTATGCCCCGAAATAATTACACGGAAACTGTATTCTTTCAAACACTGCCTGGCCCGGCTAGTTCCAGCTTATTGGCTAG